TTCCAAACTTTGTGATGGTTTTTCTCTGCTTCCCCGTGTGTTAGATGACCTAAAAGAGACGTTTTTTTTGCTTATATATTCCGTACAAAAGTCGTGGGCCAAAGTTTTCCTTTTCCTATTCCGTCTCAGCTTCACGGATTGATGCTGGGGTGGATGCTTCGCATCCGCCTCAGCTTCAGCTTCTCAGCATCGCATGCTCCACCCTCTGTTCCTTCATCTGTGCTGTGCCTAGGTGCGGAGTCTAAGGCGGGTGCCTTAGCCCAACTTCACTGCTAAGGGTGCACCAAATATACTTTTTTCCTAGGCTGGATGCGATGCATCCACCCTCTTCTCCATAGTTGGAGCACATTTTCTTCATATTTTTGCACTCCAAACACCCTAAATCATCACACACAACTCAATTAGTCATAAAACCAATAATTAGTACATGTTGGGCATTTTAAAGATCAAATAGCATCAAAAAGCGGTTAAAACATGAGTAAAGTAACATTATAACATATAGAAATATGCCCAACATCACCACCCCACACTTAAACCTTTGTTCGTCCTCGAGCAAAGTAGAGTCAACCTACAATAGATCGAACAAAATTAAGCTTATCGCTATCAAGCCACACATTTCAATTAAGCTCAAGCACCTATGACTTTGGTAGATACCAACAATTAGCCCTTTGCACATGCATTCTCGGACTTTCTTCCCCATGTTAAAAAACATGCTAAGCACAATAGTGAACAATTCAAAATAATCAAATAGTAACTTCGGGACATCTCAACCTCAGAAACTGACTCCCTAGCATAACTACTTTCAGGCCAACTTACTCACTCTGATTGAAAAGCTTAATAAAGTCACCTATCCATCATGAAACATGTGCCTTCACCACAAAACAAAGACAGATAGTCCACACACTCAAATAAAATTTGAACGTAATTTAAGGACTTCCAACAATAGAAGAACTCCCTCACTCTCTCAAAGAAGTTCACATGCGCACAAAAGGTACCATAGGCTTGCCCGTTATGTAAATCTCTACTAAATGTAGGCCCGCTCAGTCTAAAATCAATTAGGACTTTATCGTGGTTGTAACGTGGGCTAAGGAACGGGTATGATAGATATAGGAAATAATGGTTAACCCTCCTAAACACTTTAACACGTCAAGTAATCACTTCAAGCGCAACTTTCTTCAACCCCACTTCAATTTCACAACAATATCACCCTCCAAAACATTCCCTCTTTCTTTAAACACTACCTCAATTTACATCCCACTAGCAAGAACTAGACAACAATTCATTCATCTATATTTTTATTTTTATTTTCTATTTTCAATTTCAATTTTCGCTAGTGGTGTATTGTTTTACAAAATAAGTGCACATTTCTCCCTTTCGTTGGTTCCACTCGAAAGCCACCTAAATCCCCTCCTTACAACACTCATTTCACAATTAAAGTGCCTTAAAAGGTACAAGAATCAAAAGTTTCAATTAAGAACAAAAGGGTATAGGCTCGTACTGTGGGTGCCAAATAAAAGGTCTACGAGCTCAAAATAGCTAACTAGGGATGATTTTATTTGTGATAGCATTACAATTCCAAAAGGATCAAAGAAAGCCTAAAATTATATTTCAAACAGAGCAAAACCTAGGATTTCACTTCAACTCGCATGCAGGGCAAATTCTAGACACAAATGTACTACATGAAACTATACAAAAATCTCACCACACAATGGCACATGATTCAATTAGGATGGCTACATTCCAACTTTCAATCAAAGCAAGTATAAAGTTTAGCCACAAATTTAACGCACAAGGCACGACATTTAGCACAGGAGTCAAGAAAATGAGCCTAAGTGTCACAAAAAACTATTCTACTTTTCAAAGCAAAAATGGTTCTCAAAAACTCATGGATGCTCAGGTCAAACTCTGTTGGTATTAAACAAGTCACTAAATATGCTGAATTTAGTCTGAGTCTTTCTATCCTACACTACTCTACAAATAAAAAAAATAATACCCGGTTCAAAAATTTATCCCTTGGAACCGATGGCCAAAGAAAAACCAAAAGGGATTATTGCCTAATAGATTAAACTATAAACTAACTACTCAAAGTAAATAAAATATTTTTGTGCTTTTCTTTATTTTTCTGTCAACTTCTTAATACTAACACTACTTCCTAGAATCAATTGAAAATCTTTTTGTCTTTTTCCAAGGACCTTAATCCCTCGAGAGAACTGTGCAGGTAGTCCGTCGTCGGGAAAAGTCCTCTGTTTGTTTGATATTATTTATTTTTAATTTTTTTTATAAAGCTACTTACTACAAATGTAAACAACAAGAGACTGAGAGCTACTACTTATAGACGAATTTACTAACTATTACAAGTCGTTAATTCAGTGAATATTACAGCCCCAAAAGTATCAAAAGCAACAAACATTGTAATAGTTAAGTACATTCATCCACAAAAAAATGAATAACCCCCACCCTATACTTAGAACCGTGCGTTGTACCCAATGCACACAAATAAAGTGGAGTAGGGTAAGAAGAATTTCCCTCAAGTCGATGTGCAAGGCTCCTCCGTGGTCTGTGGAGGAGCATCAGAGATAGTGGCAACAACCAAGTGAGTACTGGAAGCATCCATGACATCTATCATGGCCCCCTCTGGCATAGCAATAGCATCCTCACGAATAGGGGACTCGGTCATAGTCCTATCATCACCAGGCGGAGCTGTGTCTGTAGCACGCCGCATGACGGTCTCAGTGGGCATGCTGGACGGAGACCCCGGGACTATATGAGGAGCAGATGTGGATGGTCCAACAACGGATGGTGCAAGCAACTGTGAGATATCTATATTTGTACGTTGGACCAAAGCACGGAGGAGTACTGATACCTCCCTCATCATCATAGCCTGCTCAGCCTGGACTCGGCTTAGATCCGCACGAGTCTGAATCAACTCATCTCTAGTGGCACTCAACTCGGTACGAGTCGCGATCAACTCAGCCCTGTTCTCTTGCATATCAGCTCGCATCTGCTCAAACAACTGTTGAATAGTGAACTTAGAGGCCCTCCCCCTGTTTGGCTCTAGTACATGAGTAACATCATATGGTCCTGGAGCTTTAGCCTCGATGTCATCATTCTTCATGTCCCATAGCACTCCCATCTCCGTCAAGTTAATCTATAAAGTATTTGCAAAGAACCTCCACTTGTAGTTCATCATGGTGCGCTGCATCTGGTCATGCATGATGGCTCCCAAGTTGAGCGGGATCCCCTCCAATAAAGCATACAACACTAGTGCTCGGTATCGAGGGACATTAGTTTTATGTTTGCACGGCATCAAGCGGTTGCATATGAAATTCAGAACCACACGTGCTTATGCACTCATGAATTCTTTGGCCAGAGAATGGTACTCTACACTCTCATGCTTCCAATTTGCATCTTTCCTAGTAGGGCATAGGACAGACTGAATATGTTAGTAATCAGGCGGTTTGCATATAGAGTCATACTTGTCCGTTGGTGTGTGTGGCACCACTAAGAACTCGTTCAGAGCTTCAGCTGAGACATTGATATCCACTCCTCGCACTCTCACAATGCTGCCCCGTAAGTGACGCCAATTGGCGTAAAGCTCTCTGACAATAGTAAGGTTGGCCTTGCCGTGGCCCTTCAAGATAGGTCCCCATTATTGCACCTCTCGAATTGATTTCAGAAGATCTGGATAATTTTTCTTCAGTGCTCCAATGTTGATTGGCTTTTCTGGAATATATTTCTTTGAATCCAGGAGCTTCTCATAAGCTCGGAATGCCTTTTCACTAACAAAATTCTTCTCCCAAGCAGCTCGGTCAATTGGTTCACCCTCATCTTCGTCGCTCATGTTGACATTTGTGAGCTCATAGTCCGAATCAGACTGAGATTCTGAGGTAGTCTTCTGCTTCCCTTTATCTTTCGGATCAATCTGCTTGGTGGATTTGGTCTGGTGCGGCACCGGTTCTCTGAACTTTATCTCCTTGCTTGGCAGATTTGCTGATGTTTTTGTGGTACCAATTTTCACAGTCCTCCTCACTAATGGTTCCTCCTCTTCTTGCTCTGATTCATCAATTCACTGCCTAGTCGGCGGTGCCTTTGCTTTCTCAGTCCGCTTTCTTTTGTTCTGTGGGTTGGGAGCACCTGTCGCTTTTCCAGTAAGCTTTTTAGGCGGTTGCCTGTCATTATCTCTTTCTTATTGTTTGGACGTTTTGCTCGTTGCCGCCATTAGGAACCTATGTACCTGCAAAGCAAAGTCAACAATTAGTGTGCAGAACATTGAAGTTTCAGATGTGAAGCAGCTGTGCAAGAGTATGCACTTCCAATCGTCCGCACGCTTATGTCATTCAGTACTTCATTCAAACATAGCCCATGACTTTCAGCAGGAATCAATTAACTGGTAGCACACGAGTGAGCAATGCACTTATAGACATAATTATGCGCAACGAGAGATATAATGCTTGAGAGGTAAATTTAGGCGCCAACGAAGTCTGAGTAACTGAGCGACACTAGTATATGCTAATGAACAAGTGTGGGGTTGTTTGACTGATTGTGTACAGCCTTGTCGGAATGTTTCGAGCCTGTGGTAGATTGTCCTAATAAGCTGAACATCCGGCACATGCTTGACTGCTTGTATTGTAAAGCGTTACTTCAATTTGAATTCTGTGCGCTCTATGCGTATTGGTATGTCTTGAGATTAAGTGTGGGGTTGTGAGTAGTTTATGATGATATAGCTGAGTAGTAAATTCAAAGTGAGCTATTGTAGGTAATCGAACATGCTTTGAGCAACACTTGAATCTATCTCTCGTTGCGCATAATGATGTCTATAAGTGCATTGCTCGCTCGTGTACTACCAGTTAATTGATTCTTGCTGAAAGCCATGGGCTATGTTTGAATGAAGTACTGAATGACATAAGCGTGCGTATGATTGGAAGTGCATACTCTTGCACAACTGCTTCACATCTGAAACTTCAATGTTCTGCACACTAATTGTTGACTTTGCTTTGCAGGTACATAGGTTCCTAATGGCGGCAACGAGCAAAACGTCCAAACAATAAGAAAGAGATAATGACAGGCAACCGCCTAAAAAGCTTACTGGAAAAGCGACAGGTGCTCCCAACCCACAGAACAAAAGAAAGCGGACTGAGAAAGCAAAGGCACCGCCGACTAGGCAGTGAATTGATGAATCAGAGCAAGAAGAGGAGGAACCATTAGTGAGGAGGACTGTGAAAATTGGTACCACAAAAACATCAGCAAATCTGCCAAGCAAGGAGATAAAGTTCAGAGAACCGGTGCCGCACCAGACCAAATCCACCAAGCAGATTGATCCGAAAGATAAAGGGAAGCAGAAGACTACCTCAGAATCTCAGTCTGATTCGGACTATGAGCTCACAAATGTCAACATGAGCGACGAAGATGAGGGTGAACCAATTGACCGAGCTGCTTGGGAGAAGAATTTTGTTAGTGAAAAGGCATTCCGAGCTTATGAGAAGCTCTTGGATTCAAAGAAATATATTCCAGAAAAGCCAATCAACATTGGAGCACTGAAGAAAAATTATCCAGATCTTCTGAAATCAATTCGAGAGGTGCAATAATGGGGACCTATCTTGAAGGGCCACGACAAGGCCAACCTTACTATTGTCAGAGAGCTTTACGCCAATTGGCACCACTTACGGGGCAGCATTGTGAGAGTACGAGGAATGGATATCAATGTCTCAGCTAAAGCTCTGAACGGGTTCTTAGGGGTGTCACACACACCAACGGACAAGTATGACTCTATATGCAAACCGCCTGATTACTAACATATTCAGTCCGTCCTATGCCCTACTAGGAAAGATGCAAATTGGAAGCATGAGAGTGTAGAGTACCATTCTCTGGCCAAAGAATTCATGAGCGCATTAGCACGTAGTTCTGAATTTCATATGCAACCGCTTGATGCCGTGTAAACACAAAACTAATGTCCCTCGATACCGAGCACTAGTGTTGTATGCTTTATTGGAGGGGATCCCACTCAACTTGGGAGCCATCATGCATGACCAGATGCAGCGCACCATGATGAACTACAAGTGGAGGTTCTTTGCAAATACTTTATCGGCTTACTTGACGGAGATGGGAGTGCTATGGGACATGAAGAATGATGTTACTCATGTACTAGAGCCAAACATGGGGAGGGCCTCTAAGTTCACTATTCAACAGTTGTTTGAGCAGATGCGAGCTGATATGCAAGAGAACAAGGCTGAGTTGATCGCGACTCGTACCGAGTTGAGTGCCACTAGATATGAGTTGATTCAGACTCGTGCGGATCTAGCCGAGTCCAGACTGAGTAGGCTACGATGACGAGAGAGGTATCAGTACTCCTCCGTGCTTTGGTCCAACGTACAAATATAGATATCTCACAGTTTGCACCATCCGCTGCTGGACCATCCACGTCTGCTCTTCCTATAGTCCCGGGGTCTCCGTCCACCATGCCCACTGAGGCCGCCGTGCCGCATGCTACAGACTCAGCTCCATCTGATGATGATAAGACTGTGACCGAGTCCCCTATTCGTGAGGATGTTATTGCTATGCCAGAGAGGGCCATGATAGATATCATGGATGCTTCTGGTACTCACTTGGTTGTTGCCCATTGTCTCTGATGCTCCTTCACATACCACGGAGGAGCCCTCCACATCGACTTGAGGGAAATTCTTCTTACCCTACTCCACTTTATTTGTGTGCATTGGGGACAACGCACGGTTTTAAGTGTGGGATGGGGGTTATTCATTTTTTGTGTGGATGAATGTACTTAACTATTACAATGTTTGTTGCTTTTGATACTTTTGGGGCTGTAATATTCACTGAATTAACGGCTTGTAATAATTAGTAAATTCGTCTATAAGTAGTAGCTCTCAGTCTTTTGTTGTTTACATTTGTAGTAAGTAGCTCTATTAAAAAAAATTAATAATAATATCAAACAAATAGAGAACTTTTCTCGACGACGGACTACCTGGACAGTTCTCTCGAGGGATTAAGGTCCTTGGAAAAAGAAAAAAAGATCTTCAGTTGATTCTAGGAAGTAGTGTAAGTATTAGGAAATTGACAGAAAAATAAAGAAAAGCATAAAAATATTTTATTTACTTTGAGTAGTTAGTTTAAAGTTTAATCTATTAGGCAATAATCCTCCTTGATTTTTCTTTGGCCATTGGTTCTTTTTCAAGTATGAATTTTTGAACCAGGTATTATTTTTTTTATTTGTAGAGTAGTGTAGGATATAAAGACTCAGACTAAATTCAGCACATTCAGTGACTTATTTGATACCAACAGAGTTAGACCTGAGCATGTGGATTATAACTTTCTCCATGAGTTTTTGAGAACCACTTTTGCTTTAAAAAGTAGAATAATTTTTTTGTGACGCTTAGGCTCATTTTCTTGACTCCTGTGCTAACTATTATGCCTTGTACATTAAATTTGTAGCTTAGCTCTGTACTTGCTTTTATTGAAAGTTGGAATGTAGCCATTCTAATTGAATCATATGCCATTGTGGTGAGATTTTTGTATAGTTCCATGTAGTACATTTGTGACAAGAGTGAGTTGCTCTAGTGGTGAGCACCCTCCACTTCCAACCAAGAGGTTGTGAGTTCGAGTCACCCCAAGAGCAAGATAGGGAGTTCTTGGAGGGAGGGAGCCCGAAGGTCTATCGGAAGCAACCTCTCTACCCCCAGGGTAGGGGTAAGGTCTGCGTACACACTACCCTCCCCAGACCCCACTAATGGGATTATACTGGGTTGTTGTTGTTTGCATGTAGTACATTTGTGTCTAGAACTTGCCCTGCATGTGAGTTGAAGCGAAATCCTAGGTTTTGCTCGGTTTGAAATATGATTTTAGGCCTTCTTTGATCCTTTTGGAATTGTAATGCTACCACAAATAAAATCATCCCTAGTTAGCCATTTTGAGCCCGTAGGCCTTTTATTTGGCACCCACAGTACAAGCGTATACCCTTTTGTTCTTAATTGGAACTTTTGATCCTTGTACCTCTTAAGACACTTTAATTGTGAAATGAGTGCTGTAAGGAGGGGATTTTGGTGGCTTTCGAGTGGAACCAACGAATGGGTGAAATGTGCACTTATTTTGTAAAATAATACACCACTAGCGAAAATTGAAAATAGAAAATAAAAATAAAAATATAGATGAATGAATTGTTGTCTGGTTCTTGCTAGTGGGATGTAAATTGAGGTAGTTTTTAAAGAAAGAGGGAATGTTTTGGAGGATGATATTGTTGTGAAATTGAAGTGGGGTTGAAGAAAGTTGCGCTTGAAGTGATTACTTGACGTGTTAAAGTGCTTAGGAGGGTTAACCACTATTTTCTATATCTATCCTACTTGTTCCTTAGTCCACGTTACAACCACGATAAAGTCCTAATTGATTTTAAACTGAGCGTGCCTACATTTAGTAGAGATTTACATAACGGGCAAGCCTATGATACCTTTTGTGTGCATGCGACATTCTTTGAGGGAGTTCTTCTATTCTTGGAAGTTCTTAAATTACGTTCAAATTTTATTTGAGTGTGTGGACTATCTCTCTTTGTTTTGTGGTGAGGGCACATGTTTCATGATGGATAGGTGACTTTATTAAGCTCTTCAGTCAGAGTGAGTAAGTTGGCCTGAAAGTAGTTATGCTAGGGAGTCAGTTTTTGAGGTTGAGATGTCCCGAAGTTGCTATTTGATTATTTTGAACTGTTCACTATTGTGCTTAGTATATTTTTTAACACGGGGAAAAAAGTCTGAGAATGCATGTACAAAGGGCTAATAGTTGGTATCAACCAAAGTCATGGGTGCTTGAGCTTAATTGAAATGTGTGGCTTGATAGCGATAGGCTTAATTTTGTTCGATCTATTGTAGGTTGACTCTACTTTACTCGAGGACGAACAAAGGTTTAAATGTGGGGCGGTGATGTTGGGCATATTTCTACATGTTATAATGTTACTTTACTCATGTTTTAACCACTTTTTGATGCTATTTGATCTTTAAAATGCCCAACATGTGCTAATTATTAGTTTTATGACTAATTGAGTTGTGTGTGATGATTTAGGGTGTTTGGAGTGCAAAAATATGAAGAAAAGATGCTCCAACTATAGGAGAAGTGGGTGGATGCGTCGCATCCAACCTAGGAAAAAAGTGTATTTGGTGCACCCTTAGCAGTGAAGTCGGGGCTAAGGCACCCGCCTTAGCATCCGCACATCAGAGATGAAGGAACAGGGGGTGGAGCATGCGATGCTGAGAAGCTGAGGCGGATGTGAAGCATCCACCCAGCATCAATCCCTGAAGCTGAGATGGAAAAGGAAAACTTTGGCTCACGACTTTTGTACGCAATATATAAGCAAAAAACGCCTCTTTTAGGTGATCTAACACACGAGGAAGCAAAGAAAAGCCATCATAAAGTTTGGAAACCACGGAATTCGTCTTGAATTCTTACTTTTTCCTTTTTTTAAAAATTGATTTTTATGTATTCTTGGGAAATACTTGATATTGCTACCATGAGCATGCATGGCTAAACTCGTTAGTTCTGGGGTCACGGAATGTTGAAGTTTGAATTAACGAGTTTTATTTTATCATATTGGGTTGTTTATTTAATTCTGTTTTAAATTATTTTGTTGCATAGCTAACAGTGGAATACTATTTATGAATCTAGAGTTGAACTCAAAAGTGGGAATTGTATATAGGATTAAATAGAGCAAGTTCTTGAACCCGGGCATCGGGGAACGAATTCGCAATTAGGATAGAAATATATAATTGTCTTGCTTGGTTGGAAACACAGGAAGTGTAAATGCGTTCTTGTTAGTATTAATTCCATAGACATATAGGCATTAAGTTAACTTGAATAGGCGAGTAAGAACTCGACAGATTCTTTCGAGCAACATTAACCCTGTTAATCAACAAACCAGATAAATCAATTAGTTAGTTTAAGCCGAGAACGCAACAAGATTGTTAGCTATCCTATGACCCTGGAATATCCTCTCTTATTGCTTGTTATTCGCAATTGCCTACGTATTTTAGTTGATCTCTAGTTTAATTAACTGTTTGATATTTTCTTTGGTTATTAATTAATTGCCTACTCATTTTGAGAAAAATCTCTTGAATAGATAATTTGTTTGAGTTTGAATCAGTCAAAAGTTAATCATATGTCTCAGTGGGAACGATGAACGATACTCTACTCACTACTTTATTACTTGACGACCACGTATACTTACGTGTGTGTTTGGTCGCAACAAGTTTTTCTTCTCCTTATTTCAACCTGTGATGTTGTAATCAAGGGTGGAAGGGTACTTCAGCCTAATTTAGGCGTCAAACAGTACTTGTAATCTTTTCATAGGTCAATAAGCTTCCAAATTATACTTTTCATTATTTTAGAAACAAGAGAAAATTGTTAATTTGTGGATTTTGTAGAGTTTGTAATATTAGGAGATTGTTCACTGATTGCCTGCTGAAGTTCGAATAGATATACTTTCCCAAAGTCTTTGACCTAATGGTTTGCCAAGATATTTTCTTACAACAGGAACTTCTACCGGAGTTTCATATTAAAAATTTTTGTAACGTTGTTTCTTCTTTGTCAGAAATTGCCGACATGTTTCAGCTATACTTAATATTGGATTAACAATGCAAATCCTCAAAATGTTATCTTTTCTTGATATATGCTGTCCAGTTTCCATCTTCTTTGTCAAATGCAAATGGTGAAAATCCCCTCTTTGTGCATAGAGGCTAGAGCTAATAAAAATAGTGCAGAACTCAAAGCATAATGAAGTTTGCTCCTATGGAGTTTCACAAAGCATGAGCACAAGACCAGACTTACAGCTGTGTGACATTTTAGTCATGTTGATTTAATGTCTTATTATCTTAGACCAAGTTGCATATGATGGCAGACTTTAGTGTGCTATAGTTGCTAAACTTACTAGAGATTGTTGCAGGAATGACAAAGTAGAAAACTCTCTAGAAAGCTACCAAAAAGCTTTTGACATTCTGTATCTGGTAAGAAATTCTTTGATGAACTTTAAGTTTGATCATTCTGCTATTATAAATTGCTTGTCATTTCCCTTTTCCTGTGTCCTATCACCTTTTTTCCTAAATTGTAGAATGATTCATCAATGCACGGAGTAGTCAAGCTAGCGTCTCATCTCTGTTCAATGGAAAGCAATTGAGTCTCCTAATATTGTGTCTTGGATTGGCATAAAGCACGAATGGCTGCTACATTTATCGTGTCAAGAAAATTTTCATTAAAGAGAATAGGAAGGGAAATGCATAGTAACTCTCCTAATATCAACAGCTTCTCAACATCTGTTGTCACATGAAGAAGGTTTTAATGGTTTCTCATCTTTTACCTTATTATATTTTTACACCTCAGGGATTTTCTATTGGAATAATAAGCTACAATTTTGTATTATTTTAGACCTTGCACTCTTTTTACATATGTTGGTTCCAGAGGCGGATCCAGGATTTAGAGGCTCCGGGTGCCACAAATTTTGAACATATCCATGTTATAGTTTACATTATTTAAATAAGGTATAAATTTAATCGGTTTGGTTTATTTGGATTTCGGTTCGGGTTATTCATCTTTAAGGTTAATATAGACAAATCGATCGAGCAAAAAATATATGTAATAATTATAATAAGTTGAAAAAAAGCATAAGATTCAACTGGAGTATGCATTTTGTACAAGAAAAAGGCTTGTTATCAATTTATATTTGGATACTCAAGGCAAAAACTTATACTAATATGTCTAAATATTAAAATAGAAGTAAGCTTATAGGCATTATTCAATTTACTATTTTTTTATAAAAGTTAAGCTCACTCGATATTATATACAATTGTCCTACTTTAGAGTATTTTGATAACAAAATAAACTTTCATCCTTGATTAGAACCGTAACTTATTCAAGGATTTCTATTTATAGTTTTTGGTTTCGGCAAATAGATTTATGGAGTTGTGCTCCTGGAGAAAAAAATTATTTTTTTTATCATCTATTCATAAATCATGGAGGAGTTGGGAAAGCGCAATAGTGGGGATTTTTTTTCCACGAGGAAAAAATAGATTTGTGATTTTTTTTTTTAATATTTAATGTTTAAAGTAAAAAAAGGAGAAAAGAAAATTTAAAACGAACTAATAAAACCAAAGAAGAAACAAAGGAATTTGTAGCGGTTAAATGCACAGAAGAAAGGCTTCTAAAAAATTTGTGCCAAGCTGGACTTGATCTTCTGCCGCAGGGGTGAAAATGACAGTGCCTTTCCAGTGGCACCTTAAATCATTTTGTTACTGGGGGTGCCACTTAAATTATTTGTATATCTTCCTTATATATATACATGCATCTATATATACTATTGTATAGTCTTGGCCAAACCTTGCGGGTGGCGTACCACCCCCATCCCTTACACATAGATCCGCCCTTGGTTGGTTCCAAATGAAATGAAAGGTTATAGTATACGGTCAAAACCGGTTTCGACCTTCGTACGATTGGTGAAGATGGACCGAAAAGCGTCTTCATAATATGGAGGTGAGATTTGAAGAAGGCACGAACGAGCTTCGAGTTTCGGGGTCAGATTAAATACCGAGCTCGAGCCCAAATTGCGCTATAATGAGAAGCGATGGTATCAAGCTTCAGAGCCAGAGACCAACAGACACCGAGCCCGAGTCAATACCGAGCCCCGAGTTAATATCGAGCTCAAACCCACATCGAGCTCTAAGCTTGGAAACCGACCGATAGCGAGTCCAATCAAGATCGAGCCAAGAGACAAGAGCCGTTACAGCCGCACTAAGAAAGGGAATCTCGGCAGAAATTAGGGAAAAACTGATTTATCATGAGTTCCCAACTATGTATTTTTTATTATGTCCATAGTAGGATCCCTCCACTATAAGAGGGATGACTATTATTCCTGCAAAAGGATCAAGTTATTAATACACTGTAACTCAAATACTATTAAGATATTCCCATATTAAGAGATTATCCTTTTTAGCTTCATACATAATTCCATTTTGCTTGTTCATAAATCATCTCATTTCAACTCGGTTTGTATCCTTTCTTTATAGTCAATATTTGATATTTCTACTTGCTCTTACGATTTGTGTCAGGTTATATCACTTACCCTTAGAACTACGTACAAATTCAACTCTATCCGTTTTTGGATAAACAATTATATTTTTTTGTAACTGAATTGATAAATATTTCTCTGTCTTGAGTTTATGTATCACGTTTGCAAACCTTTTTTTTTTTTTTTTTTTTTTTTTTTTTTTTTTTGTGGGTATCTTTCGCGTTTTTAAATATTGATTGTAGGAGATACATCATATTCTCTTTAGGCTAATTATTCACATAAAGATAATTATACGGCCCCTAACGTACTATATCTAGCGGAGCCAACAATAAGGTCTCGGAATACGTAAAATACATAAGGAACCAATTGGAAGAGGCTTGGGTGGGGGATAATTAAGGGNTATATATATATATATATATATATATATATATATATATATATATATATATATATATAATATACGGAAAAGACCTAAAAATGTTACTCAACTAACAGAAATGGCCTATCTATGCCATACGTTAAAAGGTTGGTCCATTCATGCCATTAACGTTATACTTTTCGCCCATTCATGTCACTTAACTAACAGAAATGATCTATCTATGCCATCCATTTAAAAGTTGGTACATTCATGCACTAACGTTATACTTTTGGCCTATTCATACCACTCAACTAATAAAAATGACCTATCTATGCCATCCGTTTAAAAATTAGTCTATTTATACCACTAACGTTATACTTTTGGCCTATTCATGCCACTCAACTATCTACCCATTCCCTTTATAAAATCCAACCATCTTTCACCCGAAGATTAATTCTGTCTCTCTTCGTGTCATCTCCGTTAAATTTCCTCCACTCACAAAGAGGACACCATTTTCTACCCTTTTGCCACCGTCTTCTTCCCCACACACCACCATAGTTAACCACCTACAGACCCGAAAAGTGAGGTACCTTCACCGGAGTTGAACTTGGACGTATTTAAAGTTAACTTTCAGGATATTAATAAAGCATTTGGCTTATTTCAAGAAAGGAAAATGTTGTCTTGTACCATTTGGATGGATAAATAATCCTTTTTTATTTCTCTTTACTGCAAAGGAAAAAAAATATGTTATAGAACTCCTTTTTCTGATATCTGAAGATTCAATACTTAGACACTAGTTCTTTGTATTATTAGAGGAAAAGACTTAGGTAGTCGCTTAAATATGCCTATAAGAGTATTTTTATCCCTTATCTATATCACTAAATATAAAATATCCCTTATCTTTATAAAAGTGGACAAATATAGAGTTAAAATAAACACTGTTAAACTAAAAACTGAAAACATATACGCGGGTGAAGGGAAAATCCCTAATTCCTTCTCTTTGCTTTGGCGCCAACACCGTTCTTCCAATTACCTCTCTTTGCTTTGGCGCCAAAATCATTCTTCTAAAATCAAAACTTTGCCATTGTCGATCTTTATTCTCCATCGCCAGCCATGTATATCAAAAGGAATGGTGAAATAGAAGCAAGCCCATCTTATGGTGAGAATCTATTTTACCAACTAGTTTTCAGAATCTTTGCTTTATAAGTTTTTACCTTGATTCTTGTTTTTGTTTGTTAATTCGTATCAAAGTAGGCTGAATTTGGGTACTTTATATTTTTTTAATCTTATTTCTACATAGGAAAACTAAATCTTGTTAGATTATAAGTTGCTTTTTTATTTTTTTTCTGCTTGCCTTTACAGAAGTTTAATTAGAACTTCTTTGTTTATTTTTTGAGTTGCTTTTATATTCATATCTGCTCGCTTCAAATTATTTTGGTTTAAAACTCCTATTAAAAATATGTTTTTTATTGTTGACATACTCTGTAATTGCGGCATCATGTTTCAGCATTAAGGTATATCACGGGGGGTTGATGAAGCATCAACCAACTAAATATGTTAGAGGTATGGTCGACTACTTTGACTATGTGAAACCAACAGATCTTAATATGACAGAGTTGAGGAAGATGGCCGACATTTGTAGTTACGTCAATGATTCAGTGATTTTCTGGCACAGATATGGTAAGTTTGGTAACATATTGAGACTAGTATCAACTGAAGTTGAAGCTAGCCGAATCGCAAAATCGGTTCCCAAAGATAATATAGTTGAGATATAATTTGAGCATCTGGACTATTACTTTGAAATGGCAGAGATTGAACCTGATAATGAAGGTCAAACAATCAACATTCAAAATATGCAACAAACTATTGGAATTACTGAGAAACTGGCTGAAACGTCAAACTCGTCTAGTTGTGATGAGTTTGATGATTCTAAAAATGAAATATCAGATTTCAATCCAATGCTTGATAAGGGAGTTACTGGAAAACAACGTGTTGAAGGTGGTAGAGAGCGTATTAGTGCCGAGGTTCAAAAGAAGTTGTCAAATGAAGAAGGGGATTCTGATTGCGTGAATTCTTCGGACACTTTAAGCTTGGATAGTGATTCAGACTATGAGAGTTTTGATTTTCCCAAGTACAATCCTAAAACTGATGAGAAGAATCCCGTACTTGCTCTTGCATATACATTTGAAAACAAAAAAGAGTTTAAATATGCTGTGGAAACTCACGAAATAAAAGCTGGAAAGTATATCAAGTGGCGCAAAAATGACAAGATAAGAATAAGAGGTAAGTGCATACATCCGACTTGTGAGTGGAAAATTATGGCATCAAGAACGTACAGGGACATGAATTTCAAATAAAAACTTACAACCCTGAGCATAGTTGTAAAAATTGGCATCACTGTAATAAGACGATCACATCTTCTTTTATTGCGAGGAGATATCTGGATACCATCAGTTCAAACAGGGATTTGAATGTTTCTAAATTCAGAGATACAATTAGTCGGAAACTTAAAGCTCATGTTAGTTTACCTCAAGCTAGAAGGGCTAAAAGAAAGGCCATTGCATTGCTTGATGGTGATACTAAAGATCAATTTGCTATGTTGTGGGACTACATCGATGAGCTTGAAAGGACAAATCCAGGTAGTTCGATTCATGTGAAATTAACAGAAAATGAAATAGCTAACAAGCCATATATATTTCAGAGAATTTATATATGCTTTGCTGCTTGTAAGGAAGGCTTCAATCCCGGTTGTAGAAAGATAGTTGGTGTAGATGGTTATTGGTTAAAGAGCCCGATGTATGGAACTCAATTGTTAGCGGCAGTTGGACTTGATGCTAATAATAACATATTCCCAATAGCATATGCAATTGTTGAAAAGGAAACACATGATACATGGTCATGGTTTTTGAACTACTTGTCTGTTGATTTGGAGATTGGTGATCATGGTGGTTGGACCTTCATGTCAGATAAGCAAAAAGGTCTTCTTGAAGCATTTATATTCAGTTTATTCGATTAGATTGCTTAAATATTCAATTTTTGCTTGCTTCAACATTTTTGTTTGAAATTCTTACTAAAAATATGATATTTTTATTGAAGGTCTTCTTGAAGCATTTAACGATGTGTTGCCATTCGTCAGTCATAGATTCTGCGTGAGATACCTCTATGGTAATTTCAGGAGGGCTATCTTTAGTGGTTTCTCCTTAAGGAATGCACTTTTGGCTGCTGCAAAGGCTACGACGGTGAAGTTCTTTCATGATCGCATGTCTGACCTTTTAAACTTAGATGCAGATGCTGTTTCTTGGTTAAATACAAACCACCAAGTGAATGGTCTAGATCTCACTTCAATCCAAATGCTAAGTGTGATATCTTGTTGAGTAACATGTGTGAATCCTTTAATAGCATGATACTCGAGACCCGAGACAAGGCCATTATAACATTGTTAGAGAAATTAAGATACTTATTGATGGCTCGGATACAAGCTAACATGGATAAAGGAGAAAAATGGAATTCGGGTGATGTTTGCCCTAGGATCAAGGATATTTTACACAAAAATGAGTCTGTAGCAGCTGCGTTTATTCCTCAAAAATCAAATAAGTGGAACTATGAAATCCTTGGAGAGAGCATGGATGATAATTGGGAAGTGGACCTACATAACAGAACATGTAGTTGTAGGAAGTGGACTATAACCGGATATCCTTGCAAGCATGCCATTTCGGCCATTTGGGCTAAAAATGATGAGGTAATTAACTACGTCGATGACTGTTACATGGTGGAAACATATAGGAGAATTTATGAACATGCTATTCTTCCAATTAATGGATAACAATTGTGGCCTAAATCTAGTAAGATTCCTCCTTTGCCTCCAAAGAATGTGAAACAAAAGAGAGGAAGAAAGCAAAAATTGAGGAGAAAGGAATTTGGGGAAGCTGGAGCGAGTAGAACAAGGATGAAAAGGAAGCAAACAACTATTGAATGTAGCATTTGTCATAAGCCTGGTCACAACAAGAGAACTTGCAAGTTTAGCTATGTGGAGAGAGAAACTGACCTAAATGAACCAGTCTTTTGGCAATCAACTACATCATCACATCCTGAAAAATTGCCGGTATAATATTTGAATCTGATGTAATTTTTAAATCGCCTTTCTATTTACAAGTTAAAAGTTAAACCATGTTTTCTCTATTTTGTAGGTTAGAATAGGAGAAGTAAATGAGGTAAAAGTTGGATGTTCTTCGAATTACTTTTGCTGCTATTTTTGGATGATGTTTAACTCATGGTTGCTGCTATTTTTCTTTTTTCTTTTTGGAAGCCGAATTACTCAAATAAGTTCCATTTACATGTTACACATTAAACCATATTTCTATATTTTGTAGGTTAGAACAGGAGAAGTAGAACAGGGCAGTTCTCACTACTATTGAAGACATTCTACTGTTGGAATTCTTAGCTGCTGTGTCGTGGACATTGTTCTAGTCATATTTCATGCTGTTTAGGAATCGTTGAAGACCTTGAAGCATGGATGTTGTTGTTTGGTCATTTTTTTTGTTGTTTCTAGTCACAATGGAAGTGATTCTTGTTAAATGTTTTTACTTTTCAGATGTTTGAACATCATATACAATATGTCGTTCATGTTTTGAGCAAATTGCTATAACTATGTTTCAATACTTTAATGCATCATATAATTTTAGAACTGATTACAAATTGCAGAATTTTTCATTGTGCAGAAAACTTTTCATATTGCAGAATATTTTAGATTTGCAGAAATTTCGTTGTGCAGAAATTTTTGTATTGCAGAATTTTTCAAGTTGCAGTCCATAGTTAGGTTCGCAATGGAGCAGAATTCCTCGAGTATGATAGGAAATTTGGGGGGAAAAGGGGTCGACGGTTGATGAGAAAGAGAGAGAGAGAGTTCGTTAATTTTAACTGGGGTAAAGCTCCGTTATTTTTAACCCAAACGGAGGCTCATATCCGTTAGTTTTGCAAACCCTATTAAGGGGTAGACTATATTTGTCCACTTTTACAAAGATAAGGGATAATTTATATTCAATGGTATAGATAGAGATAAAAATAATCCTATAGGCATAGTTAAGGGATTTTTTAAGTCTTTTCCTCGTATTATTACAATGTAAATTTCATGTATCCAGTTTTAATGGTATATATTAAGGGTCGATTGGTTATCAGGATAGATGATACTAATCTTGAGATATAATTTGAAATTGTATTTATTTCATGTTTGATTATAGGTATTAGCTAATACTAGTATAAATTTATATCAAAACGGTGGGATTAACTATCTTATATAAAAGGTGAAATAGCTAATCCCAGCCTATAAAATAAACGACCTCTAATAAGTATATTATATGTATGGTTGAGAGGCTTTTTGGATGAAGGTTCTTCGCGGTGGAATGAGTTGGGGCATTTTTTATTCGATAAACATACAAATTAATATACCTTATATATACGATTAATACTCATCACGTATTAAATAAAAATATTGCAAGAAATTATAATATCCATTTCTGATATATACACATATATAACATAGTCATATACACATTACTATTCGCTTTATTCAACAATATACGGCAAAGTGAAATATAAAATTAAAAGGCAAAGTATAGAGAGAGGTGGCATATCCTAAAGTAATAATTGTTGTAAACTAATCATATATTATTCTTGGAATTGCTGAAATTTTAACTGAAACATCTAAGGTTCAACAGTGCGTCGTACATGTAGTAACTTGAAATGCTTAAAATACCATGGAAGTTATTGTCATTTATAAGCAAAAAACGAAGGTGACAACTTAGGGTCCACCAAACTATATAGAGAACCTGTTTCTCTATCAGTTTCCACAGAACACATACAATAAGAGATAAGTAAATGACACGGCATAGTTTTACGTGGAAAACTCCCACCTCACGGGATTAAAAACCACGACCTACACTCGTAAGATTTCAACTTCACTAACCGTGCAACTTCAGATTACAACCTATTGTAACCTAGGAATTAAACTCTTAATCCATCACTCACTTGTAATAACTCTATTACAAGCCTCTTTGTAATAACTCAATTACAAAGCTCACAACTCGACTAACTCTAGCCAAGACACAAACACAAGATTTATGGTTTTACAATTGGTTTCCTATACAATACTTCTAACTAAGCTAAGTAGGAATACAAAAGTACAACACAACTAAGGACATATAATAACACAGTGCTGGAAATTGGTCCTTCGTTCTGTTTGTTCTTTGTTCTTGAAGCCTGGAAGTCACTTGCAGATGGTAACACACTTGAGAGGAAACTTACTTAATTTTCAGATGTGCAAGTGTGTGTTTTTTCTCTGCTTCATGTTAATAATCTCCAAGTGATGTCACTTGGATGATGCAAGAAAATATCCGGTACAAGACATTCCCCATAAAGTGAAAGCTGCATTGTTTGCACTGTTACGTGTGTGCAGAGGAACAGTTGCAGCGACTTTACAGCTGTGGGAAGTTGACTGGTACAGTCAGTAAGGGAACCGATGTCCATCTGTTCTCTTTGTCATTTCTTTGACTATAGTTGTTGGAACTTGTGCCCGGCTTGAGACTTGTTCTTGAGCACTTTGAGGATGTGTAACAGGTTCCCGATCTGGTTTTTATCATAAAGTTTGTTAGATCATCAAAACACAAAAAGACACATAACTTAACAATTTCCGTCTTTTTGATGATGACAAACTTATAATTGAAATTCCCCCTAGGAACCAGCTCACCGTACAAATATTTCCTGTATTCCCCCTGAGAGAACCTGCTCATCCTTCTTCCCCCTCTCAATCTTCTCAATCATCCCCCTTTTGGCGTCATAAAAAAGGTTAATCACAAGTAATATGCAAAAAAAAAAAAAGAAGTCCAACATGGTAAACTCATGCCACATGTGTGCACACAAACATGGCTAAAAATAGAGCATAAGAGTATAACATGCATAGCAAAAAGACGAGATGCTCATTAATTGTGAAGGAAAGGAGAACAGAAATAGTAGTACCATTGTTACACAATCATTCACAAAAAAAAAAACTTAAAAGTACCCGCCACAAAAATAACAAAAAGAGGACCAAGGTAGGACATACAACATTTAACTGGACACTGAAAAAAGAAATGCTTAAAGGAGCACTAGAAGGAGGATGCAGGGATGAGGAGGCAAGGGTTCTGAGGAGAATATCCATTCGAGCATTTGCAGACACTTGTTCGTTAAGCAGTCGCTCCTTCAGGTCCTCAACCTGTTTTCTGATATCTGCATTTTCCTTGGTCAGGCGAGCAACCTCTGTGCCTTGTGCACTACTGGAACTAGGTGCTTCCTGGGCCTGACTAAGCTGTCCCTCAAGAATGGCATTTCGTGCCTTCAACCTCCTTATCTCCTCATTTGAAGCATTCTGGGCATCAATCAATTGAGAGATATTGGAATTGCTGCCAATCCTCCTTTTCTTATCAATGCACTCACATTCCTCCAAGGTGGTCTTTGAGAAGGTCTGCTTGTGAGTTCCCACTATTGCTTTCCCAAGGGGACTTTGAAAAAGTTAAAAACCTTAGTGAGCAAGAACCCATAGGGAAAACCATGATTACCATCCTTGAAGTCAGCCACTTTCTTCATATGCTCTATCATGAGACCAGGCATATTGATAGTGGTGTAGGCATCCAGCACTTCCATGAGGAATAAGTCTTCTTTTGAAGTAATGAAACACCTTTCCACACGGGGAAGCATGACCTTATTCACTATCTCAAACAAAAGTTGATACACTGGAATGAGGGCCTTCTTGTGCACCCGTTCCCCTTGTTGCACAACATCATCCTTCAGAATAGCACTTCTGAAATTGGGAGAACAAGTCTCCTCAATGGATGAGATCCTTTCAATAAGCACTCCCAAAATGTTCCCCAACACAGTCTCGTTTATCACAAAATCTACTCCGTTGACCTTCAAGCAGATGTTATCATCTTCCACTGTGAACATGTATGCGTAGAAACTACACACCTCTTCCTCATACACCTTGGGGCTTGCATTAGTGAACAAGTGTGTCCACTTTTGAAACTCATAAATATCAACCAGTTTATGCATCCCTGTCATGTCAAGAATGTTAGGGGCAAATGTTCTACCCCACAGTACCCTCTGTTTTCTCAGGTTTTCTCTGCTTTCATCCTTGGCCACACTTACGTTGGCCTTCTTGGAGGAACCAGGTTCCTCGTTGTCACCAACCTTTTTTTTCACAGACTTTCTCATATTTTTCTCTTTCTTTACAGACTTCTCAGACAATTTCTCACCAGACTTCTCAAACAAATTTTCACCAGACTTGTCTACCTCAACATTTTCCACTTCCACAGCTTTCACAGATGGCTCTCTCCTGTGTTTTGGAATCACAGGTTTCTTAGATGACTTACAAATTAAGGAAGTAGGTTCCCCATTCACCTCTTCATCGTCAACACCAACAACAAGTGTTGGAGGCATTTCTTTCTCATTCACCAGCTTTCCCCTTTTCACCAGCTTCCTCTCTTTTTTTTCTCTTCTTTGTTTTTCTTTAGAATATATTCAAGGGTTTCCTTCTTTTGCAGCCTGGTAGTAGGTCTTTTAAGAGTGAGCTCTTTGGGAACTGCCTTTCTACTCCTAGCCGCAAAGAAGCTTGCTACAGGCACATTGTCATAGTCATCCTCACTGTTTTCATATTCCTTTTTATATATAGATCTCATCTCAGGAAAGACAATGGTTAACGGCTCAGTATCGAAGTGAGGAGAAGGAAAAGGATCAGTATTAACCTGGGGCTCTTTTGAGGAGGAATGAGTTTCATCCCAAGTTAGAGCAGATGACTCATCTTGGGCTGAGGGATCAGGTCCCTTATTTTGTTCCCCCGTAGTACTGACATATGCCAAATTTTTAAAGGGCACCAGTTCCCTACCCTTACCCTTATGACTTTCACCTTCCCCCTTAGACCCAGTGGTCTTATTTTCACGCTCATACCTACCAACCAAACCTCCATCTGCAGCGATTAGTAACATGTTCTCAATGACTTCTTGTTCATTCACCCCCAAGGTAGAATCAGAGGATACAAGAGGAACATTACCTGTAGGATTGGCAATATTCAGATCAAAGCTTGAAACGGGCGATGCTGAGTCTTCACTACTACGAACCACACTTTGTTGGGCTTCAGAACTCTCGCCAACTTTCTGACTAGAAACTTTCTGACCCTCGTCTCCGTCTATTGTTTCGCCTTCTGCCATTTTTTTCGGCGAGGCAAAAGGAGAGGTTGCAGCAACGAATCTTTTGGGGTTCTGAGTCTTACGACTGCAGTGAGAACCAGAACTCGATTGGGTTGGAAAGGAAGTGGTAGGTGGTTATTGGTATGGTATGGGGTTTTGCCTTGGGTGACAAAGGGGACTCAGACTTTCGCTCATGTGCTTTGTGAGACAAAGACACAGTGAAAACTACATTGGAGACATTTGAAACTTCTCGATCTTGAGACATAGTGAAGATTTGAAGTGATGACACGAGAGTAAGAGTGTTTACTTTAAGAGAGAAAAGGAAATTTTTGGCTTTGATGTGGATAGTGAGGAAAGAGACAATATTTTAGGGGTTATTTAGAGGAAGTGAGGGACCGGTTACAAAATGGGTATGAATCACTGGGTAGACAGGTCGTTGGTAACATGTGTGATGTTTGAGTTCTAA